TTTTTTTTGGTTTTTCAAGACAGGGTTTCTCTGTGGCTTTGGAGCCTGTCCTGGAACTAGCTCTGTAGACCAGGCTGGTCTTGAACTCACAGAGATCCGCCTGCCTCTGCCTCCCGAGTGCTGGGATTAAAGGCGTGTGCCACCATCGCCCGGCCATAGATGCATTTCTTAATTGAGGTTCCCTCCTTTCAGATAACTCTAGGTTGTGTTAAGTTGACATGAGACTAGCCAGCACACTCGGTCTCCTGCTCTCTCTCTTCCGCCTGTCTTTATTAAATATGAACAGGGCACCTCTGTGTTCACTGTGCCTCCTGTTATTGGTGAGCCTATATTCTGTAGTGTGGGCTACAGGGGCCAAACCCTGTCTCTTTCTAGGCCTCGAGGCACTTAGTTCAGTATTTCATGTACGCAGTCTTTTGATTAGCACCCGTAACTTTGGTGTTTAAATTGGAAGAACCAAATCTTTTAGAGATAAATCCCATAACCTATATCTACTGGGCAGTGCTGCTGTTAGGGATGTGCTGAGATGGCAGGGGAAGTGCTCAGATGGAGAAGTCTTTGCTGACCAAGATTCAGTTCATTGCTCTTTTTGTGAAGTGACATGTCAATAGCTTTTCAGGAAATTATGCTTTTATAGTTTTTTTAATCTTTTTTTGTTTTTGTTTTTTGTTTTGTTTGTTTTTTAATGAGAGAGTCTCATTATATATCCCTAGCTGGCCTCCAACTTACAGAGATCTTTTTGCTTCTGCTTCCTGGGTGCTGGCGTTATAGGTAGGAGTTTTCTTAGTTTAAAGGTCTTCTAAAAATTGTTTTTAAATAAGGCCTCACTGTGTATCCCTGGCTGGCCTAGAACTCGCTATGTAGACTAGGCTGGCATCAACTCACAGTGATCTACCTGCCTCTGCCTTGTGATTGCTAGGATTAAAGATGTGCACACCAAGCTTGACTGTTTATTTTAGGGCAGCTTTTGGTTTATAGCAGAACAGAAATAAGGTACAGAGATGATCTAAATCCCCTTTTCCCTGTCTTTCCACATGTGTAACCTGACTTCTGTCGACATTGCCCACAGGGGTTCACTTGTTTAACTGATCCTGCGTGGACATTATTGTCATCCAGAGTTTGTAGTATACACTGGGGCTCCCTCTTGTTTCAGTGCTAACTACAGGTTTAGACTGCCACGATCATATAAAATGTGCTGCATTCTACCCATCCCTCCCACCCACTCCTTGTAACCACTGACTATCTTGTGTCCTCATAGTTCTGCCTTCTCTATAATGTCAGATGCACCTAGTTGAAACCATAAAACTCATACAGATTGAGTTCCTCTGCTTTATTTAAGCCTTATTTAACTAACATATTTCATTTGTATATACAGATACATAGATATATATATGTAGACACACATCTGTGTATGTGTATATGCAAATGAAAAATATATGACTACATATTTGTTTATACGCAGAGAGAGAGATGGGGGTGGTAATCAAAAAACATCATCTTGAAGATTCCGGATAGATTGTTGTTTATTAGGTTTGATCCCCAGTAGGAAGGCACCTGTATTTTTCCCTTTGTTACCAATTTTTTTGGTGTGAAATTGGGCCAGGTAGAGTATGAATGTAGGTCAACCAAACTGTAGCCTGACAACTAAAAGTAAGGTTTCCTAGGTCTTGATCAACTCTTTTGTTGTCAGTCAGTACTTAAAACTAGATTTGAAGCTTGTAGATTGGTGATGATTTGAAATTCCATTTAAAACCAGAATAATAGGTCTTTACCAGTCCTTTTTTTTCTCCTAAGAGGTAAGTTAGAATCTTACAGTATTTCTAATATATAAATGTACATTATATATGTGTGTTTAAAGATGATGGGTATGTAGTAGCAGCCTCTTTAAATGTGTATGTGTATATGCAAATGAAAAATATATGACTACATATTTACACATTAAAGGGAGAGAGGTCAGTGTTTGGAATAGATATGGTGGTGTAGTGTGTGTCGTTCTTCTGATGGCTATAACAATAAGAATCTTACTGCTTTTCATTTTTTTAGCACCAAGCTCTGACTGGGAGTCTCGTGGTGGGGGCTGGCAGTGCCACAGAAGCCGACCCCTTTAAGAGGCAGCAGGTGATGCCATCTACAGGTATGCCCGGTGTGGCCAACAATGCAGTGGTGGTTTAGTTGCCACATGTTTCTAAACAACTTAATTTCTACTTTTAAGTTAATTTTTCTTTTGGTTATTGTCAGCTAAAATATTTGCATAAGTTTTTATTTGTATTGGAATTAGAAACTTCATTAATTCTGCACATTCCATCTGCTTTCCTTTGAACAGCCAGTATGACTCACTGTTGGAACTGCATAACCACCTTCAGAAGCTATTTTTTAAATTACTGTGCCCCTTTTTCTCCCTTTCCCCAAAATTTTTTCTTAAAGACAGGGTTTCTCAATGTAGCATTGGCTGGCCTGAAATTCATAGAAGTCCTCCTGCCCCTGCCTCACCAGCGCTGGGATTAATAGTGTGTGCCACCACTGTCTGGCACTTTTTTCTCTTTTTAATGTGAGAGGCACAGGTAGTTCGGAAGGTGACACATAGCTGCCTCTGCCTTGATGCCTGCTTCTTCTGCAGTCCCAGCAGGGTGTCACTGTCAGTATGTTGTGATTATCACAGACATTCTTCAGTGTATACTTAAAATTTTTATACGTCTGAGTTATTCTGAAAAAACTAAGACGTAAACACAAAGATAGAGTTAACTTTTAAAAAATAACCTTAATAGGTCACTTTCCCAGGCAATGCATCTGAATCTTCCAGTATCTTCACCATGTTTCACTATGTGGATGAATTTTTTTTTCTTTCAAAGATACTATATCATGAGATCTGACTGGCCTGGAACTCTTCATGTAGCTCAGGCTGTCCTTGAGCGTGGAGAAAACCTCCCACTTCTGGCTTTCCAATGTTGGGTTTACAGGTGTGTGCCACACTACACATGGCTTTGGACAAATGACTTTTTTTTTTTTGGCTTTTTTGAGACACGGTTTCCCTGTGTAGCCTTGGCTGTCCTGGAACTCACTTTGTAGACCAGGCTGGCTTTAAACTCAGAGATCTGCCTGCCTTTGCTTACCAAGTAATGGGATTATTAAGATGTGCACCATCACCGCCCGGCAGATGGCTGATTTTTATCACTCTTTGCTAGTCTTCCATGTTTATTAGTACACTTTTTTGGTTTTTGTTTTGTTTTGATTTTCTGTCAGAATGAGCAGAGACTTGACGTATAGTCTGAAATGTTCATTTGATATATCTGGTAGCTGATTTGAAGGAGCTGCCAGGTCCAGAAGAGTGCTATGTAGTGCTGCTTGCTCTCAGACTGCCTGCGAGTAGGCGTGTCCAGTTCCACAGCTGTCAAGAGTTCCTGTCTCTCTCTGTCCATTTTCCTTATTTTGATAAATCTTTTAATGTTTGGTAGTCCGACCTGAGGCTGAAGTCACACCTCTTGTTTGGATGTGGATGTCTGATTCTGAGTAAGGGTGCACAGGAGCTTTTCTTTTATTGCTCATTAACCGTTTGTGAACCTGTCCCTGGCTTGCCATTGATGTTCTCTGTCAATTGTCCTAGTCATTGAAACTTCTCATGTTACTTGTGAGTGCTTTGAGAATGATAAAGTGAGCCTCTGCCAGTCATGTGTTGCTTGTCCTTTGACCTTTATATGATGCTTTTCTTTGTACTTTCAGATTTTTAATGGAACTGTGTCAGTCTTGTCCCTTATAGCGTAGGAGGGCTTCCCTTTCAAAGACTATAAAAACATTTACATTTGTTTTTTTTCCTACTATTTCTGTGGTTTTATTTTTACATGAAACGACACCTTTCTTGAAAATTATTCTAGAGCAGTCTAAGAGACCTCGTCTTGAAGTGGGTCATCCAGGGGTAGTTTTCCAGCATCCAGGGGTGAATGCAGGAGTCCCTCTGCAGCAGTTAATGCCGACAGTCCAAGGTAAGACCCAGCAGTAGAGCAGCACTCTTAGTTTGTCATGAGGGAATGCCCAAAACCTAGAGCCCGGCCCAGATTGGGACCATGCAGTTAAGGGACTGTACTGGACATAGAATTTCCAATGTGGGGACATGTTTCTGCATCTCAGTCAATTCAGTATGAGAAAGCCCCTAGTGATAGGTTCTTCCCCTTCTAGTGGGAGTCACACATCTCCACATTGTACTTCCAAGTGATTTTATTTCTGTGTTCCTTATTCCTACTGCTGTCAGGTGCCCTGTGGTTATTTGATGCTCGTTTTGCTTAGTACTAACTTGCAATAGTTGGGTGCATTCTTTCCTTCTTTGTGTGCTCATTCTGACCTTAGGTCTGCTCTAGGACACTACCATTTTGAGTGTTAAAAGTTCTCATGTGAGCAGCAGGATGTCCAGTCTGAGTCCTTGTGAGTCACTTGGTGGAAGCTGCTGTGCACTGAGATTATTGCTTTGGGTTTTTATTTATTTTTTTATTTTGCAGGAGGGATGCCCCCAACTCCTCAGGCTACACAACTCACTGGACAGAAGCAGAGCCAACAGCAGTACGACCCTTCCACAGGGCCTCCTGTGCAGAATGCCGCCAGCTTGCATACCCCACCACCACAGCTCCCTGCGAGGCTGCCCCCAGCCACTGTCCCAGCCACAGCTCTCTCTTCCACCTTACAGTTTTCACAGCAGTCACAGATGGTGGAAACTCCAACTCAGCTCCAAATCCCAGTGAAGACTCCACAGCTGAATGCCCCCATCTCTGCCCCCCTGCCTAGCCAGCTTGCTGCTCCTTCTCCACAGCCTGCCCAGCCGACCCTCCATGTTCCGATGACCGGGAAGGCACAGATGCAGACCTCTCAGCTTTCTTCCCAGACCCAGGTACTCTGTGGACATTGGCTGTTTTGACTAGTGAGGTGCAGAAGAAAAGAGGAAGCGGTCTGCAAAGATGGCCTGCAGTTTAGGTATTTGGTAGTATGGTCTGCACTGAACCAGCACATTCCTTGAAGCAGCTTTACCTGCCTTCCTTAGCACAGTTGGTTATTGTAGCAGTTGCAAATTAATTCTATTTGGCTCTGTATAACAATCATTAAAGTAATAGAAAATCATTATTATTGTTGCTTTTAGTAGAGGAGCCTCGACCTGTTAAGTCTCATGATATTTGGAGCATGTTGTACTTGTCATCCCATTTGGTCCTCTGGGAAACCTTATGTGGTGATCAATTTTAACAGTTTTAAAAATTGTGGGATTGACCCAAAGAGACATCAATGAAGTGATAATTTAGAGTTGACTCCAGCTTTGTTCAAGGGTGAAGCTATGATCTTCACCATCAGCTAGGCTTCCTCCTTTGCAGCCTCCTTTTCCTTTTTTTGAATATGATGAATTCCACCAGTGTGATGGCACTGTGCCTGTTCTGGTGTTGAGGATGCCACTTCTCCTCACTGACTTTACACCTATGTGGGTTTGTGAGTGCTTTCTCCCACTCCTGAAGTCCATTGAGACTGTGCAGCATGGCAGGTACACCAGCTTTAGCGCATAGATGGGAGTCAGCGAGTACTGGGCCCCTCTGCTGTCACTTCTCTCATTAGTAAGGGAGCTTCTTAGAAGAGTTTGAGTTCCAGTTAGGATTTACAGCAAAGGCTTAAAACAGATGGACACAGAAAAGGAAGAACAATCTATACTGACAACCATGTGCTATGGTGGGAATGTCACTGGGGGTAATTTCTCTACCCAGTAACTTTGTGCAGTGGAATTTGCTACTCCCATTTCATGAGAAGTTCAAGCCATAAGGTTAAAAACTTGACATGTCATCATCTTAGTGGCAAGTATCTTGGGTCATTCTAGAGCTTTGAGGCAGGCAGGTATGGAAACTTCCCACACACTTGGTTAGGGAAGGAAGGTGATTGCCCCCAGGACCACTAGACTCTAAATGCTGGGATTAAAGGCGCACACCATTACGCCAGGCTTTGCTTTCTAGAGAGTGATCGTCCTTCTTTTGCAGCCACAGTCCTCACTTAGAGCAGCATTGTGGTTTTTACCCTTGTTTCCTGCCTTTGTTGTTAAGTGGATCAGCTAGGACAGCCTGGTCTACAGAGGGTGTTCCAGGACAGCCAGTGCTACACAGAGAAACCCTGTCTGGAAAAAAATAACAACAACAAAAACAAACAAACAAAGGATTAGCTATGGTAAATGGCTTTTAAGAAACTGTCCAGGGTTGGAGAGATGACTCAGAGGCTAAGAGCACATACTACTACTCTTGCAGAGGGCCTGAGTTCAGTTCCCAACATCCACATTGGGTGATATATGACCCCTTGTAAGACCAGTCCCAGAGGTTCTGACATCCTCTTGTGACTTCCAAGGGTCTTCCCTATACCCAAGTGTGCATATATACCCACACAGAGACACATACACATGCAAATAATTTAAAATCTTTAAAAAAAAAAAAGAAACCATAAATCTATAGAACCTCATTACTAGTTAGACCTCGTAACACAGGTTCAAGGCTGTCTTGACCAACTTAGATCCCGTTGCAAAAGTGAAAAGAAAGTTAAGTAGACTTGTCTGAGGCCCACAGGTCAATCTTCAGTTTAGTGGGAGAGACCCTTGTTTCTGATGAGTTGGGCTGGGATTAGCCCCTGTTTTCTGTAAAGGGCCATAGGAGAATCTTTTGGCTTTGCAGGCCATTCTGCTCTGTCAGTCCCTTAGCCTTGTTCCTGAAAACATAGCTCCAGATAATTTATGAGGTGACTATACTCGAATAAAGCTTTATTTCTTTATGTATGTGCCTGCTGTGACTTCTGGACCCCTGAGGAGACACCTGTGGGGGTCATTGTTAACATTTTAGGATGGTGGGCCTGACTGGCCTTCCTGCCAATCTAGTCTTGCCCTTCATCTCTTTCTAAGTGACCTCCTCTCTGGGCTCCTAGGAGAACTTCACACAGACTTGTTGGGGTTGAGGCCCCTTTTGTGAGAATGGCTTCTGGACAGTACAGAAAGGTTTCCTATCTCTCTAGCCTTCCTGCAATAAAAGACATACATGGATTTGTTAAAAAGATGCAAGAAGCCAAGCTGGGACTTGGTGGTACTGGCCTATATTCCTGGCACTCCAGAGGTTGAGGCAGGAGAATGGAGAGTTCAAGGACAGCTTAAGCTATAATATTGAGATCTTGTCTCTAAATAGTATACATAAAAATAATAAGCTCATTTGACATTGGAGTGATATTGTTACATGAAAATATAACACAAGGCTCTGGCGAGAGGGCTTCAGAGGATAAGAGCACTGTCTGCTCTTCCAGAGGTCCTGAGTTCAATTCCCAGCAACCACATGGTGGCTCATAACCATCTGTAATGATCATCTGTAATGGTGCCCTCTTCTGGCCCACAGGGTTGCATGCAGGCAGAATATTGTATATATAATAAAAAAATAAATCTTTAAAAAAAGATGTGCCTTCATGATCAAAGCAACTGCCTTTCCTTCCTTATATAATACAAATTTTAGTTCTGCATAAATGAAAAAACTTGCCAATCAGATCCAAAATTATTACAAGAAATTAAGAAAACAGCACCACCTTCCAAACATGCAAGGAATAAAACTGCATATGATGGTGCGTATCTGTAACCCCAGCCCTCAGAAGGCTGAAGCAGGAAGATACTTAGGCTTTAAAATCAAGGTTTTGTTTTTTGTTTTTTTTTTTAAGGGAAAAAAATTAAATTACCTTTTAAAAGTAAGAGAAAAAACCCGAAGAAGAAGAAAGCTTCCATGAGCTCTGAGATAATATACCAAGGTACTAAAGTACAATTTATAATGGAGCTTTTGTTAGGTTCTTTGCAGTACAACAATTTATTGGACATCATCTAGCCTGTGGTTCCAAGTTGTGGTTTGTGATAGGATTAATTTTGTGTGCATGTGTTGCCATAGAGAGGAAGGCACTGACTGTGCGGGCTTGTCTTGACTGAGTTCTCTGCTGTTTGGGCACTCTGAACCTGTGGAAGCCTTGTCCTGACCCTGGTTCACTTGTCTTCTGCCCACTAGACAGTGGCATCGACCAGGCCCCCCCTGGACTCTGCCCAGCCCTGCCAGCGGTCTCTGCCCATTTCCTCCTCTTCCTCATCCCTTGTACCTGTGAGTGGCTCAGGCCCTGGACCCTCGTCTGCTCGTTCTTCACCAGTGAACAGACCCTCTACTGCTACCAGCAAGGCTCTGTCTCCCATCACTTCCCGGTCTCCAGGGGCAGCAGTGTCAGCTCCCCCCAAGCCACAGAGTCCTGCTCAGAATGCAGCCTCATCCCAGGATGGTTCTCAGGATAAGCTGGCCGAACAGATAACACTGGTAAGTGTGCCTAGGCAAGTACAGAGCCTATTTGTTTGGGGGAATCTTCTTGTTTTCTAGGCTAGCCTGGGTTTGGGAGATCTTGCTCCCAACTTGACTAAGAGAGTAACTGAACAAAATAAAGACTTATGTCATCATACAAAATAGCCAGAATTCAGCTTGTATTCTGGTTTGTGATATATATTTCATTATTTAAAGGCTGTGATAATTTAGAACTGAGTACTTGGTTTATGATCATTAGAAACCAGGACTGGGACTAAATAATGCAGCCTTTTCTGCACAAAGTAGACTCATGGACGTCTTTGCCTTGTGGTGAAGTTGACCATGGTGGACTGATTTTTGTCCAGTCATGGCTGAAGGTGGGAGTCAGGCAGGAGTGGCAAGAGCCACATCCACAAGAGGCAATGCCCAGCACGTAGCACTTAGTTCTTTTTGGAGGACTCTTTTGTTCAGTTTTATCAGGAGTTAAAAGAAGCACACATTAGGGGCTGGAGAGATGGCTCAGAGGTTAAGAGCATTCCAAAGGTCCTGAGTTCAATTCCCAGCAACCACATGGTGGCTCACAACCATCTGTAGTGGGGTCTGGCGCCCTCTTCTGGCCTGCAGGCATACACACAGAAAGAATATTGTATACATAATAAATTAATTAATTAAAAAAAAGCACACATTATATTTGATTGACATAAACTAAGTGCTTCTCTTTGTCTAGTTTGATGTTAGCTCTGTGGCTAGTCTTCATTGATTTTTTTTCTTTCTTCTTCCTGGTTGTTGTAAAGCAAATTCCTGGCATTGTTGTTTCCGTTGTACACACTTTGATTTTTTGGTGTAAACATTGATCCTTTTGGTTTCATTCTAACTTTTTTCTTCTTTTTCTGGTGTCTCTCGGGGCTTGAACCCAGGGCCTTGGGATGCTAGGTTGTTGCTTTACTACTGAGTTTACATCTGGGCCATTTTATTTTGCTCTTTAGAGACAGCAGGATCACTACTGCTTGGCTTCCTTGATGGTGTCTGAGAGAATCTGACTCTATGGTATTCTTCTAGAGCCACTTAACCTGTGTGAACACTTATCTTGAACGGTGACCTCTTTGAGTCTCTCTCTTTCAGTTCCTGAGCTCGACACAGTAGGGTTTAGCAGAGTACATTTAACTACATGCTGACCCTTACCCCCCACATCCATGTTCCTTACAGGAAAACCAGATCCATCAGCGAATAGCAGATTTAAGGAAGGAAGGCTTGTGGTCCCTAAGGCGGCTGCCAAAGCTTCAAGAAGCTCCACGCCCTAAATCTCATTGGGACTACCTGCTGGAAGAGATGCAGTGGATGGCCACAGACTTTGCCCAGGAGCGGAGGTGGAAGTTGGCTGCTGCTAAGAAGGTAGGTTTGAAACATGCTTTGTGCCTTTTGGAGTAGTTGAGATTTAAATTGCTGTAAGTGAGCCAGGCACATACCTTAAATGGTGGTGTCACATGACCTTACTCCTAGCACTCAGGAGGCACTGGCTTGTGGGGTAGGATAGGTAGGCTGAAGAACAGCACAGAATTCATAGGCATTAGTGAGGGGTCAGCTCTGCACATTAAGCCTACATCTACCCTTCCTTCTCACTGGGACAGGGAGAAACAAACACCACCTTCAAGGAAGCCATGAGAGTATTGGTGAGACACTAGTGCCTGGTCTCATTGTAGTTGAGTGCTTTTTCTATCTCAGATGAGGTAGACAGTGATTATTGGTATGTGCTCTGTGTTGAATGAGTTACTTTTTGGAGCTGATACAGGCAAGTACATAGAGTATTTTCATTGGGAACACAGAATGATATCTAAAAATAGAATTTTGGTCTGGAGAGATGGTTCAGTGGTTAAGAGCATTTGTTGCTCTTTTAGAGGACTTGGGTTCAGTTCCCAAATCCACATGGGTACCCAAACCATCTATAACTCAAATTTAAGGGATTCTGACACTTTCCTCTGGCTCTGAGGGTAACAGACACACACAGGTACACATATATACATTCAGGGAAAACATGAAAAAAATTTTTTAAAATAAAATCTTAAACCAGATATGGTGGGTCACAACCTTAATCCCTGTTCTTGGGAGGCAGAGGCAGGTAGAACTCTGTGACTTCAAAGCCAGCCTGATCTATTTTGTGAGTTTCAGGTCAGCCAGAGCTATATAGTAAAACCTTGTCTCCTAAAATAAATTGAAATCTTCAGATTGAGATGTAGTTCACTTGGCAGAGTGTTTGTCTAACATACCTGAAGTTCTTGGGTTTGATTGCCAGCATTTATAACACAGGTGTGGTGGTATACACTTGTAATTTGGAATTCTAAGACTTGGGGGGTGGAGGTAGGAGAATAAGAAGTTCAAAATCATCTTTGGCTCATAGCACATTTGAGACCAATCTGAGACCCTGTGAAAAACAACAACAAAAAAAACATATATACATAGACATCTTAACAACAAAAAGGAGCAAGGCGGTGGTGACGCAAGCCTCTAATCTCAGCACCAGGGAGGGAGGCAGAGGCAGGTGGATCTATGTGAGTTCAAGGCCAACCTGTTCTAAAGAGTGAGTTCCAGGACAGGCTCTGAAACTACAGAGAAACCCTGTCTTGAAAAACCAAAAACAACAACAACAAAAAGTCAGTTTCGGTGCTGATAACTCAGGTATCCTAAAAGTACTGGTTGCTCTTTCAGAGGACCGTAGTTTGATTTCCAGCACCCACCCTCATGGTGGTTCATAACTGTTTATAATTTATTTCCAGAGGATCTGATGTTTTCTTGCCTCCTTAGGCACTGCATATATAGGCAAGCAAAATATTCATACACATAAAAATAATTTTAAAAAAATCCTTGCCTATTGGCTATTGTACACCTTTAAGCCCAGTACTCAGAAAGCAGAGTTTGGAGACATTCTTGCCTACAAAGCGAGTTCCAGGACAGAAAGGACTGTTACACAGAGAAACCATCTCAAAAATCAAAAAGAAAAAAAAATAAACAATTATTACTTGCTTCAGTAACATATATTATAAAATACAAAGAAGATTATTATGGCCCTGTGCAAGAATGACACTCAGATTCATGAAGTGTCCCATATTTTAGAGCATTAACACTCACATGCACCTACCTACATATGCACACACTTACTCTACTGTTAAAAAAACAAAAACAAAAAACAAAAACCCCCAAAAAACTTGTCAGCAAAACCCCACCTCAAAAATAAGAAAATAAACATTATTTTGTTTAGGGAAAAATGTGAGTTATCCCAACCCAACAATCTCCATATGTAGGAACATTTAGCTGCATTCATGCAATGAAATACTCAATGGCCCATTAGGCATGTTGTGTATTTGTTGAATGTGAAGATATTAATCACATGAAACAGGGAAAAAAGGTTGTAGTGTCATATAGTAGACATGTAGTTTCATATGTGAGAAAAATAGATGTAAATAGTAAGATAAAGTTCTAGAAAAGTCAGGTAAAAAAATGACAGCATTTATTTGCTTTTTAGCCATGTTTTCATCTAGCAGATCTAAGAGCCTAGGAGGGCACCTATCAGTGAATTATGTGTGGCTTTGTTTTTTTTTTTTTTTTTTTTTTTTTTCTTTCAAACACTGCCTGGCCCGGCTAGTTCCAGTTTCTTATTGGCTAGCTCTTACATATTGTTCTAACCCATTTCTAATATTCTGCGTAGCCCACGAGCTGGCTTACCAGGGAGGATCTTAACCTGCATCTGTCTGGCGTGGGAGCATCATGGCGACTCTTCCACTAAGCTTCTTTTTCCCAGAATTCTCCTCTGTCTACTCCGCCTACCTAATTTTCTGTCCTATGAGGGCCGAGGCAGTTTCTTTATTATTAACCAATGAAATCAACAGATAAGATACAAGACCCACCTCCATCATTTCCCCTTTTTCTGTTTAAACAAAAAGAAAGGCTTTAACTTTAACATAGTAAAATTACATATAACAAAACAGTTATCAAGTAAGAATTACAGTTATAATATTTATATCTATTTTATCTTTTATCATAATTAAGGAAAACTATAACTATTCATTCTTCAATTCCATCAAAGACTCCAGAAGGATATAATAATACTTAAGTAAATAAGAAATCCAAAACTCTAGAAATGACAGAGACATCTCGCTGCCTGGACAGTTACCCAAAGTTCCTCTTTACCGTTGGGGCATCCATCTTCAGCCTACAGGCCCATGGTATCCAGAGACATTTCCATGAAGCAGGAAAATTCAAAGACAGTTCAGTCATTTTCTGCTGTGTCCTGCAGAATGTCTCGCAGACTCTTTCATGAATCAGGAACCCTGAAAGACCATCTCACCTTTAGGCAAGTTCAGCAGTCCTTTCTCTGCGGGTTCTCTGTGTCCAGTTTATGCAACAGTCCAGGCAAGAGCAGTTTCTTGCCCAAATGGCTATCAAACTCCATAAGGATCCTCTTCGATGCCCATCTTCCTCTTGAAGTAGATTGGTGCTGCCAGGAGCAGACGTGTCTCATTGTCATGAAAAGCCCTAAGTTATTAAAACATTTAAAATGCCATATTCTGCAGTCTTTGAAAGATATGAAGAATGCCTATCTAACTGAAAGATATCTCTATATATCTAGAAAATCTAACTAACATGACTACAAGCTTGACTATTGATTATCCATTAACAACCTATATTTCCTAATTATACATTACATTTTAAATGAACTATACAATCACAATACCTTAATCAAGATCAGAAATACATACACATATAACAAAATTGACCATAAAATCCATACCAATGCAAATTATTCATATCTATATCATATCCCCCTTTAAATGTAAAAGAACATTTATAAACAATATTTGGGAACATGGGCGTAGTTTTTTCTCTCCAAACTGCTTCCTGCTGAATGGGGGCGTCGTTAATTAGGTCTTTTGTGGTATAACCTGTGTGCCAGGGTCATCTCAGTTGGCAGTTGAGTGAAGTAATTTTTTTTTTTTTGGTTGGTCCGAGAGTAGTGGTGTTTACACTAATTGATCACAACCAGTGGCTTTGTTTTTTGTGGTATGGTTACTCTTTGTGGAGCAGGCTGGTCTTGAACTTGTGATCCTCCTGCCTCTGCCTCCTCTGAGTGCTGGGATTAAAGATGTGCTCCACTACTGCTAGGCTAGGCTAGGCTGAGAAGTCTTAATTTTTTTTCCCCCTTATTTCCCTTTTCTCTTGGCATAGCATAGAGCTCTTTTTATTGTTTCCCCCACTCTTTATTTCTTTATATAGGTGTGCACATTCATGTGGAGGTCAGGGAACAACTTTTGGGAGTTGACTCTTCCATTTCACATGGCTCTTGAGGAATCAATCTCAACTTGTTAAGCTTGGTACCAAGTGTCTCTACTTGCTGACCCATCTTGCCAGCCTGAGTACAACAAACTGTTGAACTTTTTTTCCCCAGCTTGTCAGAACTGTAGCCCGTCATCACGAGGAAAAGAAACTTGGTGAGGAAAGAGGGCAGAAGGAAGAGCAGAGCAGGCTGAGACGCATCGCTGCCACCACTGCCCGTGAAATAGAATATTTTTGGTCAAACATTGAACAGGTAAATGCTGGAATTAGTAGGATCTAAAAAGAAAATCAGCTCAGCTTGGGGAGAGGGGCAGTGCAGTAGACAGTTTTTGTAGTCACCTGTCATCTTTGGTTTACTGTCACCAACCAGAAAACGTGTGCCATATCTCTAGAAAGAAGAAAACAGTTTGATTCCTCATGTATGCTTTTGGCTTTAACTTTTATAGTAAAAATAAGAATCAAAAAAAATCAAATGTGTCCAAACTATGAGGCTGTGTGCCAGGGGACAGAGTCTCAGGAGCTTCAACATTCATGTGTGTGCACCTAGAGACTTTGTGCTCACTTGCCACTCTGTGTTTGTTAGTCTTTTGCAAGGTTTAGCATGATCCTGTTCTGACCACTTTGTTTTGTTTACCTGTGTAGCTGTGGCAGCTTTGAAATGAAAATATAGTGAAGGCCTGCCAAGTAGTTGTTGGTGTGCTTTGGCTGTGGAAGGCAGTGTCTCAGGATACCTGCTCCCATCTACACACTTTTTTAAGAACTGAGATTTTTTGATTTTTTGATTCTATTACTGCCTAATAGAATTTGAGCAGAATAGACTAGGATACAAAACAAAGAGGAGAGCACCAAACTGAGTTTTTTTCCTTAAGTATTGTAAATGAGTACTTGTGTGAATTTAATGTGCTATGTGCAGAATTGTACAGTTTACATTCATAATGACTTGCTTATTTACCCATATATATTTTTTTTTTTACATTTAGGTTGTAGAAATAAAACTACAAGTAGAATTAGAAGAGAAAAGGAAAAAGGCCTTAAATTTACAGAAAGTTTCCAGAAGAGGTATGATATTGAAACTTTTTTATTACATTTATTTATTTAGTGTGGAATGGGGGAAGACACATGTGCACCATGGCTTGTGAGACGGTCAGAGATCAACTTTCTAGAGGTGGTTCTCTCCTGTCATGTGGGTCCTAAGGATCAAACTCAGACCATCAGGCTTGGCAGTAAGGGGATTTACTGGTCTGACCTATCTTTCTGGTCCTCCTATAGTTTTAAAATATTTTTAAAGATTTACATATTCATTTTGTATATGTATGGGTGAATGTGTGCCACCACATGCCTATGGAGGTCTAAGTACAATTTGTGAGACTTGGTTTGTTTTTCATCATGAGTTTTGGGGACTGGACTTAGATGATCAGTCTTGATGGTAGGTGTCTTTGCCCATTGAGCCATCTTGCCAAGCTTTTAAAGCTAGTCTTAATGAATCTCAGATATAGAGATTTGTGAGGTCTAGATATAACATTTGTAAGGCCTAGCATTTAACTTATAGGATATGTACACACAGGCTTCACATTTTTTTATATTGTGTTCATCTTCCTGGTTTTGGCTAGAGAGTTCATTGGACAGGAGACCATTTGCATACATTTGTTCTGCTTGTTTTATTTTGTGCACACACATACACACATACACAAAGGAGTGTTGTGGGGTGAGGGTAGGATCTCCCTCTGTTGCCCTTGTTGGCCTGAAATTCAGGAGGAAAGATTGTTCTCTAGCACCTGGTGCTGGGATGGAAAGGTGTACACCACCAGGCCCAGCAACAGTTGAGTTCTTCATCTCAGCGCCTTTGCTCTTTTCACTATGTGTCAGTAACCCAGAGTTGGTCGACTCTGAATGTTTTCATAATTGAAGTCCTGTTTCTGGACGGTAAAGAGACCAACTGATTTATTTGTCAGGCATAGGGCCCTTTGGGAATTGGGTTGGCCTTTGCACTACTGAGATATTTCTGTAGTCGTTTTTTTTTCCCAGAAATTGACTACTTAGGTACATGTGAGACACCAACACGAGTGGCGCTTACTGTCTTCTCTAGTCCTTAGAATGTTCCAGGAGCCCTCATACCTTTTATATTTTTGGTGACAGAGCAGACTGAAAGGTGGCCATTACTAAAGTTGTAGAATTGTAAACTGAGAGCTAGACAAAGTGGCACTAATTTGAATCCCAAGGCTTAGCAGGGGTGTGTGAATTTGAAGGCAGCCCGAACTCAGCTAGACCTTGACTCAAAAAAACATTAAAAAAAAGAGAGAGAGAGAGAGAAGAAAAGAAAGAACCACAAGATGAAAACAGTTGTTCTGGGTTACTAAGAGGAATGGGTTTACTGTGCAGGGGAGGTGGTGGAATTTATACTCCCTGTCTTTGATTGTTGATAGCCATAGGACTCAGCTCGGATAAGTAGACAGTACTTAGGGAGTTAAAAAGCATCATCTTGCCACAGGTTTGGTGATAATACTGTATTTCTTGTGTCTTTAGGGAAAGAGTCCAAATTAAAGATATTTGATACATCACCAGAACATGCTCTGGTAAGTACAGGGTTATTTTTGCTCTCTGACACAAAGTGTGGGCTTGTTATATTTCCTAGAGAAGTTTGTAGGGTATGAAATTAGTCCACTTTGAAAATACAGTGGCATTGGGTGGTGGTGGTGCACACCTTTGATCCCAGCACTCAGGAGGCAGAGACAGGTGGATCTCTGTGAGTTTGAGGCCAGCCTGGTCTACAGAGTGAGTTTCAGGACAGAGGCTGCACAGAGAAACCCTGTTTTGAAAAACAGAACAACAACAACAAAAATATAGTGGCACTTAAAATAGCTGTAGTTTCAACTGGGATATGAATTTGCGAATTTGAGAGGATGAAGTTGTATACAGTAATTAAGGATCTATATCCTCACTCCTTCTCCTTGGTGTTTATGTCATGATTGCCCAGCAAATTCCTTGATGCTGTCCAGTGGACATCTGTTAAATAGACACTTCCACCTTGACATCTTACTCTGTGATGTTACATCTCACATTTGTGATTTTTACTCTGTTTCAGGATCTAGGACTATCTGGAAGGAAAAGAAAAGCTAGCACATCTTTGACTGATGATGAAGGTCTGTTCCCTATTCCCCTGATGCTTTAGGACTTGATCTCTAGCAGCATGTGCATTCTGTATTGTCATATTTTCAGCTGTGCTGACTTTGACCATGGTCTTATTATTTTAAATGGGTTAAAAGTTTATTTTTTATTTATCCAGGAGTCTTTGAGTAAAAAGAGTAACCTTTGGTATCTCCAGATGACATATGGAGTGTTTCTGTAGCAATTTGGTGGTATCTTATTTTGTGATCTCTGGAAACCTAGGTGCATTTGGAGAGCCTTAGGGATACACAGAGATGATTCAGGGCCAGGTCTTTTTCTGACCTTAGTACATTAGTGGAGATGTACCTTTTGAAGGAAGACATGCTCACTGCCTACCACAGTCACCAGGCTGGGATATTTGGGAGGAGTACCTGTCATGTTTAAATGTTGGCACTTGGTTCAGGGTAGAACACAGATGTAATAAGTATGAGTGACTTGAGATCAGCCTGTGTTCATGGCTTCTGACTTGTTTGCAAACAGATAGCCTGGTTCTCAGTTGTAAGAACAGAGGAAGGAAGCAGGAATAAGGTATTAGGGAAAACACATGACCGTGTATGTAGCAGATGCTAGATGAGTGAGGTCCCATTGGTCTCAGGAGCACAGTAACTGGCTTGACTGGCAGTGTGTAAACTTCCAGTTTGAGGTTTTAGTATGGGGTTGATTCTTGTTTGGGAGAGTTTGAGCAGGTTATTAGTGTGGTAGCTGTCAGGATTGTTTCACACCAGAAGATAAAGAAATGAGTGACAGTGACTCACAGGAAGTAGGAGCTTGGGTTCCATTGCCCTGCTTTGACATAGCAACTTGGTATTCTTCAAAGTGCTCTTGTTTCTCCCATTTGTTCCTCTGTCCTAGTCTTCTGTCTCTTCTTTTAGCTATTTTCCTGGGAGATGGTCCCTCTTCATCTCCTCCCATACAACTCTGACTGTTGGCACTGAAGCTGGAGAAAGGTAGAGGTCAGGAGCAATGCTGGTGCCTCCAGCCAAACAAGGGTCCTCTTGGAAGGATTTAGGCTAAGTACTTGTCTTTCTCTCCTTGACTACCTGCTGATATTGGGAGGCTAGGACATAGTCATTAGTGCAGCTAGCAGTACATGTGATGACTGAGAAAGCATTGAGGAATAGATGTTTTGGGGTGGCATCTAGCCATGTCTAGTGATTTTAGATGATTTTCTTTGTAGACTATAAATGTGACTATCTGGCTGATTTGGAGGCATCCCCTTGTTAGGTAGTGGGTCAGTTTAGGGAATTAGACTCATTAGGAACTGCTTTGCTTGATAAATATCTGACAATGTTGTCACCTTAAATTCTATGTTTCTTTGGTACAGCCTTACATAGTCACAGGCTGTCCTCAGTTGTGATGTCAGCATGGCCAACCACACCTTTTCACTATTCTTTCTCCTAAGCCAGTTCATTTGTTAAGCAAGTTCAGGAGAAGTGGCAGAATGAAATTCCAACATAGGTCTAGCTTGTCTTGTAAGGTTGCACCAGGCTGTTCATTTCTAGGACTAGATGTGTCCTGGGCCTGTGGATATGGTATCTTTTGCCTTGTCAACTTTGGTGAATGGTAGAAGTTTTATAGTGAATAACTGAGGAATTTGGGGATGGAGTAGAGATAGTGGACAGAGTATATGCATGTGTGTAGAAGAGATGGGTCATCTACTAGTGCGGATGAGAAGAAGCCCCTAAAGAACTGCTGCTGAGGAGGTTCAGCTCTTCTGGCCAGCCCTCTTACCTCTGAGAGTTTAGGGTTGAAGAATATGGCTGGTCTCGGTTAATAGCTTTTGAAGCACAGGATTGCTAAGGGAGGGCACACATTTGGTCTGGGTTGTTGCCCTTCTTGTAGTAGGCAGAGATGAGTTCCTAGAAAGCATGCATCCCAGGAAGTATGCATGTAGTTTTTCTGCGGTGGGCTTTGTACTGGGTGGGAACTTTACCAGCATTCTGAGCTAGTGTAAGGTCTATTGCATATTGAAGAAACAGGGTGAAGTGAAAGGAAAACATTTCCCGTTTGTTGCTTGTTTAACAGTTGTTTTCTGGAATCAACCTGAAAATTTTAAGTATTTATATTCAGTTTCTTTAATAACTATAAAACAGTTTTGAAACCTAATAATATTTAGTGTTACTGAGAACTTCAAGTGAAGTTTTTTGCATGTCCCTGACCTCTGATGATAACCATTTTAGTGGAAGATGAAGAAGAGACCATCGAAGAGGAGGAAGCACATGAAGGGCTAGTTGACCACCACACAGAACTTTGTAATCTGGCCAAAGAAGGTAGGCTGTCACTATTTTACTGAAAATACTTTCATTAAATATTAAATAGACACAGGAGCATTTGAAAATAATGTCAGATACAAATGACAGCAGTACATGGGGCATAGTGTAGTTATCATTTTCTTTGGACCGCCAGCCCGCTTCCAAATAGAGACACGGAGACTCACTATTAATTATGAATGCTCGGCCTTAGTTTAGGCTTGTCCCACTAGCTCTTTTATCTTAATTGAACCTGTTTCTATTCATCTGTTTTGCCATTGAACTTTTTACCTTTCTTTCATTCTGTATGTCCTGCTTCTGTTTCTTCCATGTCTGCCTGGTGCCTGGCATCTTCCTATCATCTTTTTTTCTTTCCCCAGCCTAAGTTCCTCCTTTTTATTCTCCCTGCCTGGAAGTTCCACCTATACCTCCTCCCTCACTATTGGCTGTTCAATTTTTTATTAGACCAACCTTATACAGGCAAGGTAAAACAGCAACACATCTTTACATAGTTAAGTAAATATTCTGCAGCATAAACAAATGCAGCAATCTTTACATAGTTAAACAAATGCAACACATCATTGCATAGTTGAACAAATATTTTGCAATAGCATAGTGCTGCCAAATTCAAGGAAACCTATCTCTGCTGTTGAATTACTTCTGTTCTGGTGATCACAACTGACCTAAGACTTTTTGTGGCTCACTTTCTGAACTCTCCTCTCCCATCTCTGTGAGTCTCCCTAGCCACTGTTGAGACAGAAACAGAATTCCTTCACAGTGGTTTTGTACGGTGTGGCTTGATATTCCTGTCCAGTGGTTCTGCCCAGTAGTTTCAGATATATTGTTGGATATTGCTGCCAACACCTTAACTTTACACACTGTTTCACACATAAATATGTCTTTGGTTACTTTGATTCCAGCAGTACTGTTGTTGGTATTCTGTTCTGTGGTGTTTGTACACATATGTCTCTAAAAAGGCTCAGGTATGGAACATGGTTGGCTTGCAGAATCATGTAGCATATACATGTCTGTGCCAAGCTACGTGCTGTATCAGCCTTGGAGCTGGTGATGAAGATAGAGCCCCCTGGTGGCTGACAGTGAAGTGCATTTTCTCATGTCTGTTTGGCTCATTTGATTGCTAAGTTTTCTTCTTAATTGACTTACTTATATATTCTGGATACAAATTCTTGTTTTGTTTTTATTATTTTTAATTATGTGTATATGTGTGTCTGCCTGTGAGTATGTGCATGAGTTCAAGTGACCAGAGAGGCACTGAATTTTCTGAAGCTGGAATTATGGATTGTGACCTGTCTGAGATAGATACTAGAAACTGAGCTTTTGCAGAAGAGCATCAAGTACTCTTAACTGCTGAGCCTTTTCTCTACCCCAGGGGACATAAATTATACTTTGGTCATGAGAATGGCTTTCAATAGTGTCTGATTTAAAAAATAAAACTTTTAACTTAAAAAAAATCATATTTGTTGTTGGTCATGGTGACACATGCCTTTCATCTCTTAGGAGGCAGAGGCAGGTGGATCTGTGAGTTGGGGGCCATCCTGGCCTACAGAGTGAGTTCTTAGACAGTCTCTAAAGCTACAAAGAGAAACCCTGTCTCAAAAAAAAAAAAAAAAAAAAAAAAAAAAAA